TTATCAGCTTTTTCTTGCTTAACTTAAAGCAAGACCGCGAGACTCGAAAGAGTCGTAAGATTAAAGCTAACGCCGAAAAAGACTTCCGGATGCAACGCAAAAAAGCTCGTAAAGCTGTAAAAGATGCTGCTTAAGTCGAAAAAGAACGCCGCTGCAACTTCTAATTCTAAAAGTTTATCTCTCTTTCGAACTTATCACAATCGTATGCTACTTTAGCCGAGTATAAGCCGGCGGTAAATAAAAAAGAATAGCAAATGATTTAAGATTTTCATTCGATTATAAAAGCTATTTAAATAAACCTTTGCTTTCGCTATAACGAAAGATAATTCGAAATGCGATTTAAAAAAGTCCGCAGCGATATCATTTATCACGAGTGTGACCGCTATAATAAATCTATTAAAAAGCCGAATCTTTTTAAACAGCTTTATCTTATAACAGCTAATAATAATATAGACTTAAGTAAAGTACCGGATTACTTATCGAAGCTTTCGGTATTAAAAGAAACGTTAATCTCACCGTTATATATTAATATATCGCTTTAGCGCTACCGCGGCTATTAATATAAGTACTCGAGCCACGTAATAACCTTTGCTTTTAATAACGCTAAGTTTTTTAAAAATCTTTTTTTGCTTTTTAAAAAAGTCAACGTAATTATTCTTAAGCTTAAAAGTTTTAATAAAGATCTTCGGATCAACAAGCAGTTTAAAAAAGAATACCGAGTTCGGCGCTTTGCGATCTATATTTAGCTTACTTTCTTAAAAGCAAATAATTTTAAATATATTAATATTAATATAAACTAAGACTTAATAGATTCTTTGCTCGTAGATAAAGATATAAAAAGACGGGTCATAACTATTAAAGACGAAACACTTAAACAGCTTTTATTAAGGATAACGGCTTTAAGTATAAAGTTATTAGCACAAAAACGCCGCCGCTTACGCCGAAAAGCTTGCGGTAATCTTAAAGAAGATTCGAGCGAAAATAAAACTTTTATAGCCGATAAAGATGCTTTACTTAATATAAAAGATCACTTAAATGCTAACGATAACTTACTTGATAATTAAAAGCGTCTTCTTTTAAAAACTACAATTCTCGATTTAAATCTAAATACTACGGAATCTAATTAGCTCTTTGCTTAAGTTAATAAACTCGTATCGAAGCAGTATATTTTTGCTTTTGCTTTAAGCTAGCGATCTACGCTAATCTTTAAGCTAAAACTTAATCAAAAGCTTTTTAATTTGGCCTTTCTTATACTCTTTTTTACCGGCGCAAGCGATTTCTATACTTAACGACTTCGAAAAGTTAATATAAAAGATTATGCTAAACACTTGATAAGATACCGCGATAAGCGTTTTACAACTTACTTTCGTTTCCGGTTTTACTTTTTCAATATTCTAATGCGTTTTAAAATCGTAAAAGTATCTTTTTACTTTATTAAGTCTCGGAAAGATATCAAAGACTTAAGTATTAATAGTTTGCGAGATCAATTAAAAGAGCAGCCAGCTTTCTTTAATTAAATCGTGCGTTATAAGCAAGCTATTAATAGCACTCGCCCTTTTTAAAAGAAGCAAGGCTATCAACTAAAAGCGCTAGCCAAGTCTTAGCTAAATGCTACAGCAGCTTTTCTTATTTAAAGTATTGCGAACATGCAATAAGAAAACCTTTAGCGCTATCTTTTTCGGTATAATAAATATAAAGCCGCTAATCAAGTTAAGCGAGCTAAAATAATCTAAGAAAATGTTTAAAAGAACTCGGCTATTATTGTTTATTATATCTATATCCGCTAGCAAGCTTTTTTATAAGATATCTTAAATCATTATTTGCCGTATACTAATTTTTAAGCGCAATAAAAGTAGCAAAATCGTAGCTCGAGATATATCTACGGTATATTTTAGTTAAAAAGCAAATCGAACGATGCGAGCGAGCTTAAACTTGATATAAACTTTAAGAAAGACGATTACTTTCGTATTTTAAACTTCGTTAGCTTTTAAAAAGATTATATTACCGCTTATAACTTTAATGCGATTCGTTTGTTCGATTTGCAAAACCCGACCTTTCTACCTTTTAATATAATTAAAAATACGGTCGATCAATTTATTGCGTTAATTAATCAGATGCAAATCTATCGCGTTTGCTCGATCAAATACTATTTACGTAAAAACAAAGATATAAAAGTCCTTTTTTGCAGATTTTATTATAAGCGTTTTATGCAGCTTATAACTAATTATAATCGGAAGATCAATCTTCGCAAGTATTAGTTTACCGCTTAACGCAATCATCTTTTACAAAACCTTTTCTTATTTGTTTTTATATTAAGCTAGTTAGCTAATACGGATATATAGCTTATATCTAGCCTTAAAGGTCTCTTAGAATACGCTTTTAAGTATTGCTTTAAACATAAAAAAGAATCCGACTCTTATAAAGATATTATTAATATAGTTCTAGAACACATCAACGCTAAGGCTCTAGCCTTTTCGCTAGTCTTTAAGATGCTTAATAAGCTGTTAAAAGAAAAGGATTATAACGCTTAAGAGGTTTGTCACTTGCTCTTTAAGATCAATTTAATTAAATCTATTCGAAACTTTATTAATTTAAATTGCCGACTAAATAAAAAAAAGAAGTATTAAATAGAATTGAATAAGTATAGATTAAAACTTAAACTCTTTAACTTTTAACGGTATCGATAACGCTTCGAACGAATTAAAAAGGTTACTTTCTTAGATTTTCTTAAAGTCTACGATATATATACTTGTAAAAAAAAGTACTTCTTACGAAAAAGCAAGCTTTAGATCATCAATTACTTCTTTTAATACTTAAATATTAAGGTTTATAATAATTATAAGCATAACGCGCGCACTTACTTAATACTGTACTATTTTTATCGAAAAAAAGACGATTTACTTATTAATATTACCGAAGAAGAGCATCCGACATTCGCTTTAACTTATAACGCTTGCAAGCGCTTTTATCGAGATCTTTATAGCGATTCTTTGTATATGCTCGATTATTACGATCTTCTTTTTATAGCTAACGAAGAAGATAAAGCTAGTTCAAACGATAAATACAATATAAAAAGCCTTAAGCTTCGAGATAATAATGATATTAACGCAAAAGAAAAATAAAACTTACGGAATTTTTGAAATCTTAATATTGTTTTTATAAACGAAAACGATATATCGAATCGCTTCGAAGATCTTGCTTATAATTAAGATTCATATGTTAGCAAATATAATATTTTATTTATTTATATTCGAAATTAAAAAGCTGCTGTAAGAGTATTTGATATGCGAGTTAACGCTACTCGAAGTTATAACTTTAAAAAGCTTTCCGATAAGCAAAAGAGGTTTTACTATTTTATAATAGACTATTATATTATAATATTATTAAACCAACCCTTTTTACAGCTGCTAATTCATTTCGACGGCAAGGCTGACACGAGCAAAACTTATTTTATTTTAACTACTTGCGTTCGGCTTCAAGATATAACGGATAAAGCTAGCAAGCTAAATCTAGTTATCCGAGCAGCGCTTATAAGTGTTATTGCTTTTAGCATCGCAAAAGTTATATTACATTCCTTATTAGCGCTACTAGTTAAACACTATATTATAAACAATTCTTTTGCTACCTTTTAAACCTTTTAAGCGAAATTCAAAGACTGCAAGTATTTAATTATTAATGAAAAGTTAATAATTAATTTAAAAGATTTCGCTCGAATTCAACGGCGCTATGCTCAGATTTTCTTTAAATCTTAAAAGCTATTTAAAAGTCTAAGTATTTACTTTTGTAATGATTTTTATTAGTTACCGCTAGTTAAAAGGAAGTCTTTATTTATAACTTACAACCTTTCGTTAAAATAAAAGATCGGTTAGTTTTTTTATCGATTATTTAATAAAACTATTCGATTTAAAGTCATTATGCGTTAAAAGAGCGAGTCTTTAAAAGCTATCAATTTCCGTAAAGCACTTTTAAAACTCTAAGAAGATAACTTTTCGATAGACAGCTAAGAACTCTTTATTTCTCGAGCTAAAATGAATATCCGGCCGGCTAATAAAGATTCTTTTAAAAATGCTTTTTATATTTACTTTACGAACGCGGAAGTTAAAGAATATAACTACGAGCAGCTAAAAAAGCTAGACGCGCTTATCTTAAGACTTAAATCAGAAAATACAAGCAACGCAAAAGCTTATAACGCTGATTAAAAAGAAGCTAAAGGCTTAAAGCAAAGCATTAATATATATATTAAAGCTAAAGTAATATTGAATTAAAATCTTTAAACAAAAATAAAAATAGTTAATAAGTTTATAAAAATAGTTAAAGATATTTTTTAAAAAGCAAAAGCTAAACTACGTAAAGAACTGCCACAAAGCATTATAATAAAGATCGAGAATTATACTAGTCTTACTTTCGAAAAAACTAAATAGTTTTTAATATTTATTGTCGATCGAGACTTTTTTTACGATAATAAGCTTTGCAATCGTCGGCAGCTTTTTTTTCGCGTAGCTTACGCAATCACGGTATATAAAAGTTAAAGAATTTCTTTGATTAAAGCAATGATTAGCTAAGCTAAAGCTGAATTTGCTTATAAGCTATATTATGTATTAGCTTTTAAAGTAAAGACTTTAGCGAAGGTTATGTTTAAGAATATGTTTGATTTTTGCCGCTTTAAAAAGAAGTCTACTAGTATTAGTATTGATCGGGATACAGATTATATATATTAAAAGCAGCTTGCACAGCGGTTATAAAACGTATAAATATATATATTTATATATTATATAAAAGTTATAAAAGTTACAAAAGTTATAAAAGTTATAAAAGTTACAAAAGTTATAAGAACTAATAAGAAGCTTTTATTCTTCGCTTAATTCAAACAAAAGCTTATTGCCACGTACATTTAATCTTAATAGAATACTTTCTTTGCATTCAAACACTTTACTTTTACGATATACTAAAATTAAACAATATATAATAATCAATTATTCATCGCTTTTCTTATTACTATTATGAATACAAAGCAAAAGAAAGAGAATACTATTAATTATATTGAAAAAAAGGAGCTTGAAAAAAAGGAGCTTAAGGAAGAAGAGATTAAAGAAAAAAGCATTGAAAAGGAAGAGGACATTAAGAAGGAGGGCGACATTAAGGAAAAGGGCGATATTAAGGAAGAAGGCGACATTAAAGAAGAAGGCGACATTAAAAAGGAAGAAGATATTAAAGAAGAAGTTATTATACTACTATCAAAAACTCTTTTACTAAAAGACCTTTATTACGCAACCTTATAACGCGCTTTTATAATACTATTATCTAGCTTGCTACGCTATCGATATAAGTCATTCGATCTCTTCGATAATAACGACGAGATAACCCGCATTATAAGTAAGATTAACTTTAAAAGACTTATCGATACTTAAAGCAGTTAATAAATTAATAATAATGCTTAAAGTAATAATAAAATATAAGATGATGCTTAAAGTAAATAAAAGAACGAAGTAAGTAAAAAAAAAGGCTAAGATATTATACTTACGGATCTTTTTAAGTTTATATATACGATGTATAAAGATAAGAAAATATACAACGATCTCGAAGTATACCGCGCTTTTAAGCAAATCGAGCAATCGAACAAGATCAAAGCTAAAACGGAAGCATTAGATTTAACGTTAAATTTGCTCTTTCTTTTATTCTTTTTAACCTTTAGGCCAAGCATAGATACGATCTATTAATCTTTATCGCGTCTTACGCTTTTCGCACTCGCTTAGCTACTTAAAGGACTTATTAAAATCGAATGCATCAAGTGCAATAGCTTCCGCTTATTATTATACTTCTTTATCTTGAATACTAGTCTGCGATTTATTACTTGCTTAAATTGCTATTACTAACGACGCTACGAGCTAGCTAAAGAGTACTTTATTCGAGATACAGCTCGGAAGTGTTTAATTAGCAATTTAGCAGATATAATAATATCGGAATATACAACGAAATTAACGGACGAACTTTGTTAAGGCTATTTAAGTCTATTCTTATAAAGAAAGCTAGATAACTTATATACTTGTTATCACTATCGCAATAAGCGGACCTTTTAGCGCTTATATGTTTTAGATAAGCGTATAAAAAAGGCTATTCAAAGCTTAAAAGCTTACGCAAAGATCGAGCTTAAAGCTTATCGATTAATAGCTATAAAAAAGTATAAGCTTAACGAATTATAAAATATATACTAATAGTTTATTATTAAAGGTAGTTGTATAGCTATTAGCAATTGATCAAAAGTAAATAATATATTTAAATTGTAATTTTAATTACGCCGAATCAATTGTAACTTTTATAACTTTTATAACTTTTATAACTTGATAATTTTATATGATTATGCATGCCAAGCCGATAGATTTGATAAGAGCGAAAATTTACTTATATTATAAAAGTTATATAAGTTATAGAAGTTATAAAAGTTATAAAAGTTACAGAAGTTATAAGAGTTATAAGAGTTATAAGTTATTTTATAAAATATAGTATAGATATACTGTTATACCGACGAATACGGCAAGTGTAAGAATTTAGCTAAGCACGGACCTTTTTAAAAAGTAAATTCGTTTGTCACTTTTGAATATTTATTATAACTTAAATATTCTTTTTAACTTTAATATTAATATTAATATCAACTTTAACTTTAACTTCAACTTCAACTTTAACTTTAACTTTAACTTTAATTGCAGCTACAATTACGATTACAATTATATTAACAATATGATCTCACTCCGCTAGCGCAACCTTCGAAACGGACTTTATACAAAGCGAGTAAGTCGGCCGGATCCGGCTTATAAGCGGCAAGTACAACTACTTCGCAAGTAGCAGTAGCTGCTTTTACACCCCTTTTTTCCCTTTTAACAAGCTTTGCCTCTTGCTTTGCTTATTGCTTTAGTTAAGCCCGCGGTGTAAGTGATAAGTGATATATTTTAATTACTTACGCTAATATTATATATAAATTCAATTAAAACGACGACGATAATAATAAGATTAAGCTAATGATTTCTCGCTCTCTTTCCTCTTCTTCTTCTTCTTTTTATATCGTTTTCGCTGCTACCTTGCTTCTTCCTTTCTTTCTCTCTTTTGCTGCTATAGACTTAATAGTAAAAGAAGTTAAAAGAAAAGTAAAAAAAGATAAAGTAATAAAAGATTTTAAGCTCGTAATATAAGTCATCTTGAGATCAAGTGATATATTTAAGCTACTTACGTTAATAATATATATATATATATATATAAATTCGAAGACGACGACGATATGAATGAGCTAATGATCTTTCGTCTTTTTTTCTTTTTCTATCTTCGTCCTTTTTGCTTTATCGATTCTTATTAGCGCTTCGGCTTTTATATTCTTCGCCGCCGCCGTGCTCTTCTTTACTACGCTACTTGCTACCTTTCGCTTTATAAGCTTTAAACCGATCTTACTTTTATAATAAAGCACAAGCGTAAGTATATTTTCACATCTTTTATTAATGCTTATTAATTAGATTAATAAATGTTTACGTCTTCGCCGGCCGTTAGTAAAAAGACCTTTTTTATTAAAGCTTAGCTTAAACAAGCTTAATTAATTGCCGGGTTTACGCGGCTCTTTTAAACATAAACTACTTAAAAGAAGAACAAAGACTTATACACGCTTTCCGCTATAAACATATAGTAGTCGTATAAGCAATCGGACTTATTAAAGCTCTTTTCTTTTCGCCGTGCTATTATCGGCCACGTCGGCCGTATTATAAAGATCGAATTATAAGAATTACTTTTATCTTTTAGCAACTTTAAGCTAATACAAATATATAAAAGTGAGCTAGTAGACCCGCTTTGCGATGCGTGCGCTGCTGCTCGCCAAGAGTATTAAGTATACTTTTCGGCCGGTAAAGCATAAATATTTAATTCGAAAGATGCGTATGCTCGCTATCGGTGGTCTCTTCGGAAGTGTATTGCGTTTAAAAAGAGCTTACGTAAGAAACGTAGACCTAGACCCTTTTCTTTTGCTCGAAACCTCTCTCCTTTCCCCCCCTTTCCTTCTTCTAAGTGCACTTCTTACAGCTAAGTTAAAGATTCGGGTTTAGACCTTCTTTAATACATATTCTTAGACTTAATAACTCTTATAACTTTTATAACTTGTATAATCTTATAGCCTTTGTAACTTTTATAACTTCTATAACTTTTGTGACTTTTATAACTTTTAATATTTTCGTAATATAAGT